CATGCCAGAATCTGATCAGCAAGCAAAAGTCTAACTCTGGTCTAGTGTAATCTGCTGCTGTAACTCGGCAAAACTTCACTCAGGTCAATGGAGCTGCATTTACTGTCAGTAGTGCGAAAACTCAGACTCTATAGTAGTCTTCAAGTGCAGTGTCGTTAAATTTATACTCTTTAGTCGGAGAACAGGCAGGATTTGAAAGCTGCATTCATTCAGTGCCATGATCTGGACTGGAAAGTTGATCTTGCAAGGGTAAAGTGGTCTTCATCTGCTATGTCTGTTCCTTCATTGGTTTCTTTGCCAAGACTGACGGGGCCCGTTGGACCAAATCCCAAGAACGGGGTCCCCTAACAGCTACTAACGGTAATTTTAGAGGAGTGAGCTTGATTTGACTGAATGGGAAAGTAACATACTAAACGCTAATCCATCTCTTTGAGGCTTCAGGAAGAGGAAGTCCTAGGATGGGTATTATTTATATCCCACCATCATTATTGTTTTTCTGAGTTGAGTGCGAAAAGGGGTCCAAAGCTCTCTTAGTACCCGCAACAGACTGTTAGTATGATTAAGGCTATATGACTAAGGACTGAGGGAAAATCAGCATCATGGCTCAAAGCAGAGTGGTGTGGTTGTTTGTGAACTGTAGTGTTCTTGTATCTTTGATGTAAAAAAGCTTGTAAAAAATCCTGTTTCAAGGAATGTTAGATGGCCAGCTATGGGCACATCAATTGCAGGAGAGTGAAGTGCTGCATGACACTGTCCAGGATTGCAACATATGTGTGCGTGCATGTGTTCACACACACAAGTGTTCATATATGTAGAAGGAGAAGTGGGAACTTTTCCCTATCATGTCCCTGGAGAGAGGCATGAACATCTGTACAGGTATTTCTCGACTCAGGCAGACTAACTAGCTAAGTAACGTTAACTTCAGTGAAAACAGGAACCACTTTTAGGCCCAGACTTTGCTGGCTAAATTTGAATTTCCTTCTAAGTAGTCAAATTGAAAAGCCAGCATACCCAGCTTTCCCTTTTATTTGCTGACCTCAAACACAAAAGGCTCAAGTATCTGTTTCAAGTTTATCCACATGTGTATATGCTATATAGTAGGGTAGCACCTATGGGTGCCCCTAGAGAGTAGGGTCATACTGTGAGAGACTCTGTGAAAACAGTAATACAGTCCATAGCTTGAAGATCTCAAAATGGAAAGACCAACACAGTAAGAAGGGAAACAGGCACAGAGAAATAAATGTTCTTGTCCAAAAACCAGTGGGAATTGAACTTCATAGGCCCAGTCCAAGGATCTGTGTTGGAATGTAACATATCAAGCTTGTGATTGGGATCAGGATGTCCTTAAATCCTAGAAGCATCCCTGTCCTTCTAACACTTGCCCAGATGTACATCCTCACTGCGGGTGTGCCTGCGCCTCCAGCATTCAAGCTTTCTGCCATAGCAGTATCCATGCAATAGGTAAGCCGTGGTCTTGCTGTTCTTTGTGTTCTGTGCCCAGGGTGTAAAGGGAGGGGTGCATGTCCTGCTCCATACCTCTTGACCACCTTGCCAATTAGCTTGTATTTTTGTGGTCTGCAAACTCCTTAAAGCCTTTTTAGGAGAGATTTTGTGTTCCTCTTATGTATTTTGTCCTGTTTCCATAAAGAGGAGGTTTTTCTTTCTTTTTTTCTCTCCTCTCTTCTTTTTGTTGGAGCTCTGTCATTTTTCCAGCATTGGTGGCTAGACAAAAAGGCCCATCTTTAGGGGCCATTTTTCCCTTTTATCTTCCTTGCCTCTCCCTTACCTTGAGGTCGAGAGAGAGAAATCCTGGACCTTACTGAACTGACATTATGGCTTCTCCCTAATCCCTGGAATTAAAACAGCATCCATCCTATGATAGTGTCTATAGTCAGTGGACATGTTGAATGTCTGTACTGTTTGAGAGAATCTTACATTCTTAGGAAGTGCTTCCTATGCAGGTCTCTTATCCCCTGGACCAGAAAGGAGTGAGACCAGACTCCATTAGACCTCCAGCATAAATCTACAGCCTCACTCTAAAATCCTGCGACCCATGACCCTGCTAGGTGCTGGGTATAAAGCACCATCTCCTGAAAGAGACCTTCCAAGTTCTTGCTCTGGAAAAGCCTGAAAAAAAGTCACAGATCTAAGGAGAAGTCATTGCATGGTTGTTGTGAAGAGCTTAGCCCAGGACAAGGTTCTTATAGCAACCCTGATCACTACAATAGTGGATTGCTGGTTTAATATTAGAGTAATGATGGCTCCCCTCCCTTCTTTATCTAGTGGTGAGGAACAGACTTATTTTGTGTTTTTAAATGACTGAATACAGAAACATGCATGTGAACTATGGTCTTACTGCATTAAAAGTTGGCTAAGCAGGTTAATAGTCTTTTTCCATTTAAGAGCTGAGGCTCAATACATTTAGTACCCGATATATTTTACAGTAAAAACACTGCTTCATCAGATCTGTTTCTCCTGCAAACAAAAAAAGGTGAGGTATGTGATTAAGGTTGTAGTGTTTTATTTTAATCTTCAGAAAACAGATTCTGTTCATACAGTTTTACATTTTAAAGACAGAGGTCATCAGCTGAGTGGTAGTTTCACAAGGTCTTGCTTTGAAAAGACCAATGTATAATCTTACAAGAAAAATAATTAGGCAGCAATATATCTGGAAACGTGAGTGTTACTGAAACAACACCAATAGTTTGAGAATGACCGATAGCCTGTATTCAGGCTTAGTCTAAGTTCAGCTTTTAACACCTCTCTTACTCAAGTTTTTTACTCAGATGTCAGTCTTCCTGGCTGTGCTCAAATGTACTCTTGTCACGCGAGAGAACTGGAAGTCGTCAGTTTGCTATATTTCCAGGATGGACTGACTACATTCAGGAGATGACATTTTGTTTTTAGCTTTATTAATACAACCATATCAATAAACTGACTGGCTCATCTCAAATCCAGAACAAACTAAATTGAGATGACTGATGAAAGATGGTAGCTGAAATAAGCCATCTCTAACATCCTAGGCATACAAAGGTACTGGGTGAGAGGCACTTAAAGGGGAAAAAAGGCTAAATGCATTTCTGTGGCAACACTTGTTCTGGAAATTAACACCTGGACATAGGCAAAATATCCACTAGTACCAATAAAGTACCCAATAATGACTCATCCAGCATCTTTTTAACGTTTAGGCTAAGCGTTACACGCCGTAACCTGACAGTGCAAGTATCCTGGGAGGTTTTTGTCCAACTGCTTCAGTATTAGAATACAAGGAGTTGTAATTGATACTATGTTCCAAAAATACATAGTGATTACCATTCACAGAGTTTGACACATTCTTGATCCCATTTAGTCAATTTGAAAGGTTGTACCCGGTACATTTAAGCTTCAGTATTTTTCTTTGAAATTAAGCAAAGAAACAACGACCTCTCCATCTGGAATCATTACAGAACACCCTAGGTTCAGAAAAGAAAAAGGCCTCTGGCAGTAAGACTTGAGAGAATTAATGATTTGGTACTCAGAAGCGGACACAAAATCTAAAGTTACTGGTATACATTCTTGTGCAAGGTTTGCCCTAATGAGCTACTCTTAATTTAATAGGTTATTTCTATGTTAAATACTGCTTTACAGTCTAGACTATTTCATTAAAAACTGAACTCTATATTCAAAATTGTGCTTGTCTATTCCCATTTATCTGCATCAGGATAAATGCTCTCAGATGTTCACCACACCTAGAGGTGAAAATGCACTTGTGATGAGTGACTGGATCACCACTTGTCTCTCTCAGAAAGATGTGCGTATATCCACTGAATTTCACTGATAGTTTAGAGAGAGAGAGAGAGAGCGCATCTGCCTAACAGACTACAGTGAGGTGGCGGGACGAGTTAGATTCTTCACAAGAGGAACAAAGACGTTGCTTACTAGTAGTTTATTCCTCAAGCATGTCCATATGTATATTCTCAACTTTGCTATACGGCTCCTCTGGCACTGAACTGTGGAATTTTTCTAGTGAGCAGTGTCTGTCATATTCATTTCCCTCTCCCTCAGATGTGCCATATCTCAGAAGGAAAATAGGCAGAGGCCACCTGAAAATTAAATTTTCAGAACTCACCACCCCTGTTGTGGCTATTTTTATGTAGAAAGAAGAAACACCTAATCAGACCAGTTTGGCAGACGTACACAGGTTACCTGCAGAAAAGTTTTACAGAACTCTGTATGAAATATCTGCAGGTAGCACTTAGGGTTAAACTTAAGATGACAAATTCATTTGCAACGTTACTTTTCTTTTCTTCATATATATACAGCTTAGATGTGAAATGGCCGACAATGTTATTCTTTCTTCTCATCATCACAATTTTAGAGTCCTACTATGGAGTATATCTCAGAACAAAATGTCTGAAAATACATTTTAGAAGGCTATAAATAAAGGAAACAGATGTGACCAGTATCCTGAATGCCTGGTATCCACCATTTTCTGTCTACGTATTGTGCGGCTGCAATTCACTTTTCGAGAGTTTCTTTTTAATGTGTTTCCAGTGCTCATACTTTAAAGTCTTTCAAAATATCAGATGAAGGATTTCATCCCATACAATGGCCACAAATACTGTGCCTGAAAAGAGAATACAACCCTTCAGTAAATATGGTTAAGAAATGTACAGTAGTGAAAGTATCCAGAAAATGTTGCAGAGTGTAAGGTACAGTGGAGACTAATGAGAATACTAAATTTTAGGAAACGACAGACAAATGTATTGTTTAAAAAAGCAGGAAACCATGTTTGCCTTGAGATTTCACAAAATACATTATGTTCATGGTGTTGGGTCCCACAAACCTTTTATTCACTTGTGACTCAATGTTTTGGCATTGAGTGAAGGGCTCTACTGATTAGCACCATCTCCTTAAGGCAGGGGCGGGCAATTATTTTGGGTGGAGGGCCACTTACCTAGTTTTGGCAGGCTGTTGAGGGCTGCATGGGTAGACCCGCCCCTTGACAGGTGCCCCGCCTTCTGGTCACCACCTTGGGACCAATGTCTCAGGACCAGCACCGATGGGGCCCAGAGTGGGGCACAGGCCGGCAGGGGTCTGTGGAGCCGGGCTGGGCTGCACCAGCAGGGAGTCGGTAGCTGGCCCGGCTCCACAGCGCCTCTGCCAGCCGGGCCCCTGCGCTCCTGCCACCCTGCTCTGGGCCCCACCAGCACTGGCCCTGGGACACTGGTGCGGGCCCTGTGCTCCCGCTGGCTCCCCGCCCGCTCACACCCAGTGCCCCCCCAGCCCCGCAGTACAGGCTGGGGGCAGCGCACAGCCCTGATCCCCTGCTTCCCGGCACAGAAGCAGCTGGTGCTGAGCGTGGGGAAGTGGCCCCTCGCCCGCCCCATGGCCAGCACTCCCTGCTGCAGGTGCTTGCAGCCCACATGGGTCTGTCTGGAGCAGGCACAGGCAGCCTCATGCGGGCTGCAGGTGGCTGCAGCATGGGGCACTGGCCATGGGACTGGTGAGGGGCCAATTTTCTCCATGCTCAGCACCAGCTTGTAATCCACCCCACTGCCAGCCTGGCAATGGGGCGGGTTACAAGGCTGTGCTGAGCGTGGGGGGGAGAAAGCAGCTCCTCCCCGCCCCATGCCCAACACCCCATGCTGCAGCAGCTTTCAGCCTTCGTCGGGCTGCCTGTGCCCCCTG